GTGGTGGGAGAGGTCCAGGTTGGATATTAGGAAAAACTATTTCACTAGGAGAGTGGTGAAGCACTGGAATGGGTTACCTAGTGAAGTAGTGGAGTCTCCATCCCTAGAGGTGTTTAAGTCTCGGCTTGACAAAGCCCTGGCCGGGTTGATTTAGTTGGGATTGGTCCTGCCTAGAGCAGGAGGCTGGACTTGATGACCTTCTGAGGTCTCTTCCAGTTCTATGGTTCTATGATTCTATGACCCTTATTAGCTAGAGCTGTGAGAAGTACAACAGAATCTGATCTGTAGGTCTCAAGGGAAGCACTACAAAGAAGCAAATCGTCTACATATTGAATAAGAGTAGAGCCAGAAGGGAATGTAATGTCAGAGAGATCCCGCCGTAGAATTTGTGAAAAGTAGGTGGGAGAATCTCTAAACCCTTGTGGCAGAACAGTCCAACAGTATTGCTGTCCTTTGTAAGTAAAAGCAGTAAGGTATTGGCAGTCAGGATGGAGGGGAACACTGGAAAAGGAAGAGGAGAGATCAACGACGGTAAAATGAGTGGAATCAGGTGGGATAGAGGAAAGAATACTGGCCGGGTTAGGCACAACAGGAAACTGAGAAATAACAATAGCGTTGATAGCATTGATAGCTCGAAGGTCCTGGATGAAACGATAGGTGTCCCTTCCAGGTTTCTTTATAGGCAGTATAGGAGTGTTACCCTCACCTGTACAGCGAATAAGAACACTTTGTGCCAAGAGATCAGAAATAACAGGCTGAATCCCTGCCTCAGCTGCAGGATTCAGTGGGTATTGAGTAATACAGGGCAGACGCTTAATTTTGTCAATAGAAATGTAAATGGGATCCACTGATATCCTGCCCACTTCGTTCGGGGTGGTGGCCCACAAACAGTTGGGGACCTGGGACAAAAGATCAGCATCTGAATCAGAAATTAAGGGACATAGGATGGTGTCAGGACCCTGCAGTAGGTCCTCCATCTCCTGTTGGGTCTGTGCAGGCACTTCAAGATAAACCCCATCAGGAGTACAGAAAATAGTGCTACACAATCTGCACAATAAATCCCTTCCTAACGAATTCACAGGGGAGGTAGGGCTTAGAAGAAAAGAATGATGCTCTGAAATGGGTCCTAATACAAGAGGGACAGGTTTAGAAACAAGGTGAGGTACAACTTGATTAGAAACACCAACTGCATTAACAACCTGGTTAGAAACCAGAACAGAAAAAGAAGATGCTAGGAGGGTGGACCTGCTAGCACCTGTGTCCACTAAAACCTGGGTGTTTTGTCCAGCAACCTGGCAAGTTAGAGTGCCATCAGAATTTGAGGGAACAAGCTGATCGCCATATTTGGGGTCGGGAAGGAATTTTCCTCCAGGGTAGATTGGCAGAGGCCCTGGAGGTTTTTCGCCTTCCTCCTTAGCATGGGGTACAGATCACAGCTGGAGGATTCTCTGCATCTTGGGGTCTTCAAAGTATTTGAAGGCTTCAATATCTGAGATATAGGTGAGAGGATTATTCTAGGAGGAGTGGGTGAGATTTTGTAGCCTGCACTGTGCAGGGGGTCAGACTAGATGATCATAATGGTCCCTTCTGACCTTAAAGTCTATGAGTTAAAAAGGTGAAGTTGCAATCCTCCTCTGGGCACCCCTATTGACTCTTGGCCACCGCTAAGTTAAACTGACCCTGCGGGGGTCTGAAAGCTGCAGGCTCTGGCAGCCCAGGGCGGTTCGGTCACTGACTCTTTTGCATTTGTCATTGTCCTGGAGTTTCTTTGGCCAACAGTATTCCCAGACCAAGGTGGTCTTGGGGGTCCATATGAGCCCCGTGACTGTCGTTCTATGGGGTGCCCCCTACCCCTGCCTGTTTTAGTAGGCAGTTTTGCAGAACCATAAGTTTAGGTTCTTTGTCCTGTTTAGCCTTTAGGCACTGTCTGTAGTGGTTTGCCACTGTCAGAAGTTCCTCTAAGGATTTAGTTTCCCAGCCAATGGTTATGTGTTTTAACTGGGTCTGGATAGCTGGATCCAGTCCATTAACAAAAGCAGCACCCAGTGTCTGCTTAGCAGTGTCAGCTGGGTTTTCAATGCCAGAGTGCCTTTCAAACACTTTAGTAAGCCTTTCCAAATAAGCACCTGGTGACTCATTTTCTTCCTGCTTGCAGGTGTTAATTTTAACCCAATTCGGACGCTTAGGAAAGACTTGAAGAATACTATCAAGCAGTCCGTTTCTAGCTCGGGTGAGAGCCTCTTTGTTAGCTGCTAAATCCGGGTCTCCTGAAATAGGTCCAGGTGGCCAGCTTGCCTTCTCTAAAATCTTGTTATGCTTATCATCAGGCAGAATCACCCTTAAAAGCAGATTAAGGTCTTGCCAGTTAGGATCATAGGACCGTATTATTAGTGCCAGTTCTGCTTTAAATTTTACCGGGTCTTCTACTGAGGGAAAATCTTTGGCCAGGGCATGTAACTCGGTCTTGGTCCAGGATTGGTAAACCCGCATACACCCTCCTTGTGGCTTTGGGACTTCCCGTAAAGGATAAGCTGTGATCAGGCTATTACTCCCCGCCCCGATGCATGTCACTGATCGTTGTCCCTGAGAAGTTGCTGGTTGGAGGAGGATAGTGCTTCCCCCAGCAATCTGATATGTAATTGGGAGCACTCCTGTTCCCTGTTTTTCTTTATCAGTAACAACTTGGCTTCCTGAAGCTACTTGGGGCTCGGGAGCTGAAGCTAGGACTGGGAATGGTGGGGGATTTCCACACAGGGCACAGGACATCATTCATGTCGTCCTGTGAATCAGGATTTGGGAAACAAGGATACAAGTGCCCAATAGGTGGCACACTAGGCTTAGTTATCACTGCTTTTGATTGAGTGCAGGCCTCTTTCAGCAGTTTAATCTGTGTTTGCAGTTTTTCCTGAGTATCTCTGAAGCTTCTTAATTGAGACTCTTTTTGACTTTTAAAAGTTTCAGATGGGCACTCACACTGTATTAAGTGCCTAGGAGAAGGGCACATTCCTCAAAAGTGCACACATTGAACTAAACTTAACGACAGGGCTTGACAAACTGCAGCGAAATCTACTCGCCAGCGCTGCACTGCACATGCACCAGACCCACATTGCGCATGAGCGCGCCGCCGGTGAACGGGGAGACCGGCTGAAATCTACTCACCACAGGCAAGTAGATTCACTGATTTGTCGAGCCCTGCTTAACAAAACAACTACTAACAAGAACTTGTGAATGAATGAACTAATTATTTCTGTTTCTATTTTCCTATTTGCCTCAGAGCGGAGAGGGAGCTTGTCCTGACTCCATCTGCAGCCGCAGACAGTTAAGAAGGAACTGATGGGGCCAGACCACACTCGCAAAAGGGCACGAACGGCATGAGACAACACGCGCACATGCACAGTCCGGTTGGGCTACTGCTGATGAAGATTCTTCAGACTGCAGTGCCGGGACAAGCCTTACACCTTCAGAGGAGCACCCATGGGGAGACTACTTGATGAAGAAGTATCAGCACTGCTGTAATCTACATCAGGTGGCAGAAATCCTCACGGACCATCTTCCAAGTAACTTCATGCTCTGAACCCACTTCCTCCAACCCCCTGGCACCAGGACTGGAAAGAAGGTGGCTTAAGAGCTGGCTAGCCTGACATTACATCAATTGAAAGCTCCTCCGTGTGCTCAGGGAAAATGCTCAGATACAGCCAATATCTTACCCCTTTGCACTCACACACCAGAGCCAGGCCACTTAGGCTACGTCTACACTACAGGCTTCTTGCACAAAAGAGCACCCACACTATTGGATGCTCTCCTGCATATAAAAGCCAACTGGAACCGGTTCTAGCCGGGCTAGAGGTCAACAGTCTCTCTCGAGTGCTGTTGCTGGAGCCCTCCAGAGATGCTCGCTTAAAAGGGTCCCCCCTGGACAGCCGCTTCTCTGTTTCTGCTGTCAGCTTGCTAGCCTCTTTGGCAAAGCAAAGCTTCAGAAGTGCCTGCTGTGTCTGTCCTGTGCTTTTTGAGGACGACACAGCTTTTTGCCTTTTGCTGTTTGCCATGGACCTAAAGTTGCCCCATGGCAGGAGATGGCCCCATATAGCCATGCTGAAGTTCCTGCAGCACTTGATCCCACCAGCCTACTTGCTGCAGCTGTACATGGACATTGAACTCCTCCTAGTGTCCTTCTGCATGGCAGTGGCTGCTCCGGTCTGGCTGCTGTACCCAACCATACCTAGGAGGCTGGAGACCAGTTTGGACTGGTGGGATCAGTGGGTCATGGAGCGGTGGGATGACCAGCAGTGGCTGCACAACTTTAGAATGCACAAGGCCACCTTCCTCGAGCTCTGTGCCTGGCTATCTCCCACCCTCCAGAGACGCGACACCCACCTGCGGCCCACCATCCCTGTCCAGAAGCACGTCGCTATTGCCTTCTGGAAGCTGGCCACCCCAGACAGCTATCCATCGGTGGACAACCAGTTTGGGAGGGGAAATCCACTATCGGAGCCCTGCTTGTGCAAGTAAGGAGCTCACGGGCTGCAGTCCCTGCCCGGAGGGAGGGAGGGTGCTGGAT